AAAGAGTTGCTTGAGAATGAGCATTATTATATAGCCACTCATTCAAATTTTGTTATATTGAAATAATGGTTGTATATCTTTATATATATGTATATATATATATTTGCCAATCTTGTGGTTGAGCATAATGGTAGATTGTTGAGTATCATTAGGAAGAGGGCTTTTCTCTTCTCTTCAATCTACAAATTGGAATGGATTGCTTAATTGGACCTATAAAGGGGTTGTTTACTGTAATTTATTAGGTAACTATTATGGGTATTATGTCATTTTGGTCCCTAGTATTTAAATTATGTCAATTTTATCCTTAATATATAAAAGTGTTTCAACTTAGTCCTTCAATATTAAAATTGTGTCAATCTATATCTTAATGTATAAAAATTGTTTCAATTTACTTACCCAATATGTCTATTAACAAAGTTAGACTGAATTAATTTTAGTTTCTTCGGAATGTTTTGGATTAAGACCTCGAGTTGCATCAATATTGAGAATTAAGTAATAGTGCCACATAGCGCACGTATATTTCCAGGGAAGCTAGGAGTAAGGTACTCAGTATGAATCAAATAGGGAAATTTATTAGTGGTCCTCAAGTTTATGTGGCACCGTAATTTAATAAATTATTGGATGAATTACAATAATGATATTTATAGTTTGAGACTTATGTCATTTTGGTTCATGACTTTTCAATTGTGACATATTTTACTTTGAATGTTGAATCTTGTTCTAAATAAAGACGATTGGAAATACGATGGCTCAATTTCAAGGATAAAGTTGTTAATTTGATAAAAATATAAACTAATTTAATAAAAATAAATGTCAAAAAAATATTTTTAAATTTTTTAAAATTATTTTTACCCACCAAAGATAAAATATGTAAAATTAATAAATCTTTTACATTTTTTTATTTATTTATTTTACCAAAATTAATTTTTATTGTATGTTTGGATGATGATTATGTAATGGATGATTTTTTTTATTTTCATTAAATTAGTTTTTATTTTTTCAAAAGTCAAATATGGTGACAACTTTGATATCATTATTAAACCAATCCATTAAATTAAAAAATCCAAAACTAAAAATATTTCATATATTAAATATATCAATTACACATTAAAAACTTAACAACCGCCCATTACATGATCATCATCCAAACATATAATAAAAACTAATTTGGTAAATAAATAAATGTATAAAAGATTTATCAATTTTACATAATTTTATCTTTAGTGAGTAGAAATAATTTTTTAAAATTCAAAAATATTTTTTTTAATATTTATTTTTGTTAAATTAGTTTTTTGTCCTTCAAATTGAATAATGGCATCTTCAATTGTTTTTATTTGAAACAAAATTTAAAATTTAAAGTCAAATGTACCACAATTAAAAAGTTAAAGACCAAAATGATACGAGTCCAGAATTATGAAGACTATTAGTGTAATTTATCCTAAATTATTAGTTAAAATAATAGATTCAATAGTTTTTTTTAAATTTTCTAAAGACAACGTGACAAATATTAAGGTATAAATGATGTGAAACATTGGCTTTAAATTATCAAACAACCTCTCATCAAATAGGGGTTGACATAAGTTTTCATAGGGGTGAGCATGGTCCTGATTGAATCGGATTAGGATAAAATCAGAACTAATTCGTTATTTATAATTTTTGAAAAATTGAAACCAATCCAATCCATTTAAATCGTGAAACCAATCCGAACAAATCCATTTAAACAAAAAAAACCCTAATGCCCAAAACGACGTCGTTTTGGGCATTAGGGGGATTAGGGGGGGACAAGTTTCGAGCTCTCAAACATTATCCTATTAAATATATCAATTACACATTAAAAACCTAACAACCGCCCATTACATGATCATCATCTAAACATATAATAAAAACTGATTTGGTAAATAAATAAATGTATAAAAGATTTATCAATTTTACATAATTTTATCTTTAGTGATAGAAATAATTTTTTTAAATTCAAAAATATTTTTTTAATATTTATTTTTGTTAAATTAGTTTTTTGTCCTTCAAATTGAACAATAGTATCTTCAATTATTCTTATTTAGAACAAAATTTAAAATTTAAAATCAAATGTATCACAATTAAAAAATTAAAGATCAAAATAATACGAGTCTAAAATTATAAAGACTGTTAGTGTAATTTATCCTAAATTATTAGTTAAAATAATAGATTCAATAGTTTTGTTAAATTTTCTAAGACAACGTGGCAAATATTAAGTTATAAATGATGTGAAATATTCGTCTAAAATTATCAAATAACCTCTCATCAAATAGGGGTTGACACAAGTTTCTGTGTGTCCTATGCCACACAGCTAAAATGTATGGACAATAATGATTTAGACTATTAAAAAATATATTATTAATAGTATTAATATATTAAAAATGATAAAAAAAAATAAAAAAAAAAATAAAAAATGAACAGAATCCACTATCACATTATTAATACTTTCTCTAATGATCTCTTTTTAATGCCCTCAAACATTTTCTAATACATGAATGGTAATGGCAAAAAGCAAAATTGCTTCCTCCTAGTAACTGTGACCCAACAGGATAAACCAATCATATCCCCCCTCTAAGGTACCCTTGCCAATAGGGCTATGAAATTTAATAAGCCCATAAAAGCAAAAGCTGAAATTTAAGGACCGCTAAAGTTTGGCTCCTTCCTACCACCAACTCCAATTCCCATGCTTTTAAAGCACTTTTACATTTTCACATTTTACAATGGCTGAGAATTTTTATTTTATTATTTTATAAAATAAAAATAAAAACCTATTCTAGCCTAGGGGAAGAGAGCATGGGAGGGGTGAGAGAGTCCTAGGTCTATATCACCTTTATTAAAGGGTTTCAAGGACTTCTATGATTCTGAACCTAGTGATTAGCTTATTATAAGCTCAACCTATGGTGTTTCCTTTAGCCAGACAGTGAGTGACCTTTAAAGCAACTTCTCAACTAAATTGTTTCATGTTCTTCACTATAATCATCATCAGGTTATTATGTCCTCGTTTGTCAAGTTGATTTGGAGTTTTTTTAATTAAAATAATCATAAAAAAAAAATTAATTTAATTTAATAAAATAAAACATCACATTCAATATATAATCATTACATTCTTTCTCTCACAAAAGTCTAAAAAGACAAAAAATTCATAGACTTTTAATCCCAAACTAAAATAACCAAAAGTCAAAAAATTAAAAAACCAACTCACTTCTCCAACAAATCCTATAATCAAAATTTATCATTTTTTAATCAAAATTTATGGCTCTGTTTGGTTGTTAATTTTAAACTAAAATAGTCATAAAAAAAATAAAATAAATTTTTTAGTTTAATAAAATAAAACATTACATTTTATAATCATCATCAGGTTATTATGTGCTCGTTTGGCAAGTTGAGGTTTGGAGTTTTTTTTTTAAACTAAAATAGTCATAAAAAAGTAAAATAAATTTTTTAGTTTAATAAAATAAAACATTACATTCCGGTAATGCTGGGGATCCTTAGTGGGGGATGACCCCAGCACCCCCACTTCCACGTAGGGGGCTGCCAATGAAAAAAAAAAACCAGTTATGGACCAATCAAAAATCATTGGGGGTAGTGGGGGTCACCTCCACTGGGGATCTTATGCATTTTCTCATCACATTCAACTTATAATCATTACATTCTTTTTCTCACAAAAGTCAAAAAAAGCAAAAAATTCATTCAAAACAAGACTTTTTAATCCCAAACTATAATAATCAAAAGTCAAAAAACTAAAAAACCAACTCACTTCTCAAACGAACCCTATAATCAAAATTTATCATTTTTTAATCAAAATTTATCATTTTTTATAGTCGTAAAATTTAGACTTTGTTTGTCATAATCTAAAAAAGTAAAAAAATCAAAAAGTTACTATCCTATTTAAGTCATATCATCTTATTTAAGTTACATCACTTCTCTACCTCATCCCTTCATACTCAATCCATACCCAACCCATATTTCATAAAAAGTCAAAAAATTAAAAAGTATACTTATTTAAATCATCTCATACCATCCATTAGTAACAAAATTTCAATTTGATTGTTTGGTGGCATGAGTTCGAATAATAACAATAGATCTCTCTTAAAAATAAAAAATAAAAACCGCGTAAATCTCACATTTCTCAAATCTCGCTTGATAGAAATCTTGTGTTCTAAATCACTTTATATATACTTAACTTTCATCCTCAATTTATCTTTTCTAAATAAGTTAATAATATATATATATATATATGTATATGTATAAATTAAAAAGTAAGTACATGTAGATTTCATGCTGGTAAGCAGTAATAATCGATACCTTTTTCTTTTTCTTTAATTTTTCTACTTACCATATACTATATGTTATTCTCTACCTTTTTCCCTTCAATTGCTTCACAATGGTTATATTCGTACCAGATGGGCCTCAGATATCAAAACAAAATTGACTTTTAGGACTCCCAGCATCCCAATCTATAGCTAACACTTGGACTCCCTGCAATCCGAAGAAAGTTTCACACATTGGTGGTTAGCATTTTGCAATCAATCAAATCTCTCTCTATAGTAATGAAAAACATGGAAAGTTTGATCAAGGGTATGTTTGAAACTTCGAATTTGTAGACAAAAAGGAGGGTAAATTACATATATAGTCCTAAAATACATTACTGATTTTATTTTGGTCCTTAATATTTAATTTGCATCAATTAATTTCTTAATATTTAATTTGCATTGATTAATTTCATGAACTTCACACGGCCTCACATTAAGCATTTGAAGGACTACATTGGATTAATGTGCAAGTTTGTTTGAGAATGCAATTGATACAACTTAAAGATTAGATACTAAAATGAAATCATAGTTTAGGGACCATTTTTATAATTTACCCGAGAGAGGAAAAAACAAAAAACAAAAACAAAAGAGAACGGAGAAATTGGTTCACAAAGAAATAATTTGGGTCATGACTCATGAGGTAAATTTGACCAGGGAATTAGATTAGCACCTAACAATGCCAGCTACTCCACAAGGACAACCAATGCCAGCAAACTCAAGAAATCTCTCACCTACACACTACACACACAAATCTAACAGATCAAGAGTGCCAATTGTCCAAAATACCCACGTCTGGAAAGCTAAACTATACTACCATTCTGATAAATACAGGGGGCCATTTGAAGTATTAACCTTTCAGGCTTAGGTGAGGATAGGATACCTTTCTTCAGAAGTAAGGCATGCACAAAAGGGAAAATCAAGCAATTCATCAATTTAACTCCCATTCCCTCCATGACATCTTTTCAGTGGAAGCACAAGACCAGAAAAGAGAATGCCAGTAGGCGATGATGACTCCAGATTTGCCTTCCTCAGGAGAGAACTAGAAGCAGCTCTGGCAAGGAACAATTCCATGGAGAGAGAGAATCAGGAACTTCAACAAGAAGTGAGCCGTCTTAAAGCACAAGTAAGTGCCCTCAAAGCCCACGATAATGAAAGGAAATCGATGCTCTGGAAGAAGTTGCAGTACTCCTTGGGTGGCACAAATACAGAGAGGTTTCAGCAGAAACCAACATCTCCACTTGAGATTGCAGAAAAAGGTCAAGCAGTGGAGAGTTTGAAGCCAGAAGAAGATTTGGGAAAACCAGAAAGAGTACCAAAACCACCGCCAGCAAAGCCAACTACTTCTGCTACTATACATAGAGTACATTCAGCACCAGCAACAGCAACAGCAACAGCACCGCCACCTCCGCCGCCACCGCCACCGTCAAACTTGATAATTCGATCAAAAGCAGTGCGTCGCGTGCCAGAGGTGATGGAGTTCTACCGTCTGCTTACAAAGAGAGATTCCCAAAAGGAGAACAAAACCAGTCCAACAGGAACACCTGCAACCATAAATCCAAGGAACATGATCGGAGAAATTGAGAACCGATCAACATATGTATTGGCTGTAAGTATATCAGCAACCTTTACATCATATTTTTACTCATCCGAAGCAAACTATGCACTGCTGACACTAAGTTTCATGGACAGATAAAGTCAGATGTGGAAACACAAGGCGAATTCATCAATTCTTTAATAAGGGCAGTGGAGACTGCAGAATTCACAGATATGTCTGATGTGGAAGCATTCATCAAGTGGCTGGACGGAGAACTATCCTGCCTGGTTGATGAGAGGGCTGTGTTGAAGCATTTCCCACAGTGGCCAGAGAAAAAAGCTGATGCATTGCGAGAAGCTGCTTTCAGCTACCGGGACCTGAAGAACCTTGAATCTGAAGTTTCATCATTCAAGGATAACCCAAAACAGCTTTTTATCCAGTCCCTGAGAAGGATACAAGCATTGCAAGACAGGCGAGCATGTATATTCTAGGGTACTATAACTAATCATTAAACTATATACATTAACTTTATGATAAAACCCATTTTATGCAGATTGGAAAGAAGTGTTAACAACATTGAAAGAATGAGGGACGGTACCAGCAAGAGATACAGGGAATTACACATCCCCTGGGAATGGATGCTGGACACCGGTGTCGTCGGTCAGGTAGGTGGTACGTTAATGAGCTTTACCATGAAGCATGTAGGGTTGAGATGAAAACAACACTTCACCAATAATTGAATAAACACACTAGTGATGAATCACTATGAATGTGACTGCACCACTAAATAATAATTCATACCATAGAACATGTTGGTTTTTAGACATGTCATCATGCGTCCCTCAATGACCACTTAGATCTCCAGAACCCAAAAAAAAAGACTTAATTCTGATATAATCCCGTTGTGCATTCAAATAATACAGCATATCGATCAGAATGAACTCCATGATTGAGTTTAACTATAAGAGCATTTGTGTGCACAATGAAGAAACTCAAACCTGAATAATTGGTCATCTCAAACTCTACAATTTACCTCTTGCGAATGCATGACAAGGCTCTGCCTGACCATATTACCATGCATTGCTTGACATTGTAAACAGATGAAATTAAGTTCACTGACATTGGCAAAGGCATACATGAGGAGAGTAACTAAAGAACTGAAGTACAATGAATCCTCACAAGAACAGGACCTCCTGCTTCAAGGCGTTCGATTTGCTTTTCGAGTACACCAGGTAAAATTAAAACCTCAAAATAGAATCTTTCCCTCCACTTGTTTTACTACTAACCACCAACTCTTCCAGTTTGCAGGTGGGTTCGATGCAGAAACCAAGCATGCATTTGAAGAACTAAGGAATGTTGGAACAGGTCAACAGAAACAATAGCATGCTGTTAAAATACACCAGATCTAACAGAATATAGAGTGAAAGAATGGCATACTGCAACTATTAGCAGAAAGGGTAATTGTAAAATAGTTTATCAGAGAAGATTTTACAAATGCACATATCTGGTAAAAATTATGGTCAAGTTTCTTATGTTATGAACTTGACCCACAACAAATATATTCTTACAAATTGAGGCACACATCTGAAGTAGCCTAAATCTTCAATATCCTCATTACAAGATAGTCTTTTTCCCACCAGTTTGCAAATTGCAAGTCCATGTTCTCAACTCAACTTAAAAAGCCTTTCTCCCAATTACTGAGTTTGCTAATTCATTCACGATAATTGCATAAAATTTAGTAAGCAAAATCAAAGGGTAAGTACTCTGATCTTAGCAAATTGACTTGATACTAAACCTTTTTCCTATGATGTTTGCCTCATCCTTCAACAATATTAAAGTTCCAAAACCAACACAATTACAGTTGGTGGATGCAACCCAACAGGTTAACACATCACCTGCCCAATTTTATATGTCTTGTATGCATACCAGAGGAAGGGAGGAGAGGAGAGGAGAGGAGAAAATCAGGATTCACTAGACAATGTAATTCACTGCTCGAGCAAATTACATATCATACGTGTACCGTCTCACAATTAGAACACAAGGCAAAAAAAAACATATTAGAACAACCATAATCAATCCAACGACCCATAATGAGCCATCATTGCAATTAGTCTGTGTAAGAATGGTAGATAAGATTCACAAGAATGAGTAACAAAACCCAATTAAACTGTTTGCCATTATATGATTAACCCAATAACCTCACTTCCGTGGGAACAAGAGACAAAAAAAAACATAAACTTGCACCACACATCGAGAGAGGGCAGACCAGAGATCACTTTAAAGCCTTAATGCTTCTTCACCACAATTAAAGATACTAAAAAATCTCGTGTTTCAGATCCTGAACACCTAAATCCTCTGTATCTTTTTGTTCTGAAACATACCCACAATACATGAAAGTAGTGTAATCAAGCAGAACACAGCAATTGGCCATTACCAAGCCCATTTACGACGCAATAGCTCCATTCATCTTCAAAACACATTATGATCTAACAATTCAAGAATGGAAACAAAGCAAACAAAGATGAAGACAGTGAAAAGCAATGGAGAAAGGCATTCAATTGATCATATAACAAAGAACCCAAAACAATAATACCAAACCCAAGTGGTATCAATAAAGCTTGATATTCAATAAAGCCAAAGTCGTAAAATTTGAACTATAAATTCATACATCAAGTGCAAATATATCTGTCAAAATGCCAAAAACCCTGAATAACGAAAAGAAAATTGACGACACAGAGAGAGCCATAGACGTAATTGCGAAGGTCCATCATCGATTGTTACTTCGATCGCTGCCTCATCTTTCGACGCTTTCTCTTCAACCTCCTCATACGTTTCTTCTTCCACTAAAATCACAACAACAAAAAAAAAAAATAGTGTGTCAACTGAGAATCGAATCGAATAAACAGAGGTCGAAAGGGTTTTGATTTAGCTCTGTACCTTAGCTCTCATGGTGGTGGTACAGTACAGTGAGTCACGAACCCTCTTTTTGGGTCTCCTTCTTCAAGGGCCTCTCTCTTGTCTTCGATCCGAAGCGACTGCAGAGACTTCACAGCAGATGTGCTACGCGAAGTGTATAAACCCTAGTATACACGGGCTGCGTTGAATAAAGCGGGTCAATTCCGGATCCAGTACAACCCGAAATCGATGGATGGTGGGTGGATACAAATCCGAAGCTCATACCTTTTTATTTTTTTTAATTTTTAAAAACAAATAAAATCAACTATGCTATTAAGATACTTTGTTGTTCGTTGATCAATCGATAACCTTTTATACATTAAGGAAAGTCATATAAAAATATCTTTCAATGTAGAACACTTTGTATTTTTCTCATCTCTGAAAATCTAGACGTGTTAATCCTTAAAAAAAGCAAACGACACACTTTACAAAAAATAGAACCGTGAAGACCGCTCGAGTGCACATTTCACCGCTCGAGCGGTGTGAGTAAAGGCGGTGCAAAACATAGTTCGTTATTAAATATATAATATAATCTATTTCTTTAAAATATAATATGATTAAAACACTAATATTATTTTCACTTATTAATTTTTTCTTTTATTATCTTACATTTTTAATCATTGTCAATTATGAATTATTATTATTCGTATTAGTATTATCATTTTTTAAATTACAAAAGTAACTCGCTCCCATCTAATCTCTATTATCTCTTTTGATTTACCCTTTCCCAATATGATTTAAGACGTGGATGAAATACTATCTGATAGTCTATTCGGATCACATATCTTGGTGAGAAAAGATAATCAATAAAGTGAAATGAAATTCTTTTATTATGTTTGGTTTATAAGTTAAGTAATAAATGGCAAGCAATTATGAGAAAGAAAACTCTCATATTTTATGAATTTAATTTTTCACAAAAATGGTGGGATTTGATGCAAAATAAACTAATTAATTATATTTTTTATAATACTAAAATTGCCCTTTAAAATATAAAGCAATAAAAAAATTATTATTCATGTCTTATATCATTTGCTTTAGTATGTTAGAACATCTCTAATGTTTAAAATGCTAAAATGGATGGTCAAAACCAAATTCTTAGCATTGTTTTAAAATATTATATTTTGACAACTTTTCTCTAATGATTTAATAGTCATTTTTTATAGTATAAAAATAATACTAATCAAAATGCGTGAACCTCACCATAAAGAGAGAAAAGTTCTAACCAAAATTTAGAAATTTGGTCAAAATTTGACATCATATTTTGAAACTTGTTTTTTTTGGATTAAGTTGCTATAATTTACCAATAACAACTACTATAAGAGCAACTTCAAGGAGTGTATTTTAACAAGACTCTCTATTTTGACCAAATAGTAAAAGTATTCTATTTATTTTGCTTAACTAGTTCAAGTAGTGTGTATTTTAACAAGACTCTATTTTAGCTAAACAATCAAATTAACTTAACTAATTTCAAAAGAAAAATATTTTAAAACATAAATATAAAAAACACAATGGGTCTGTTTGGTTGTATTTTCAAATTAGTTTTCAACATATAAACTCGCGCTTCACGTTTGGATAGAACACTCAAAATAGATTTCCGCGTGTGAATTCAAATTATAGTATGAAAACCTGTTTGGCAGGTTGTATCTCTACTTTCAACTCTTGTGCATTCTTTCATGTCCTTCTATGTCGTCTCCATCGTCTCTGAAATATTTCATCGTCTCTGAAATATTCACGTGAAGCTCATCTCTGTATCAAACATTAGTCCTTTATATTGATCACGGGTAGGCTTGTCTATCAAACATCAGTACTTCAGATACTTCAGATTCATCACAGGCACTTCAGATTTATCACGGGTGGGCTTCACAGAGAAGACTGATTTTATAAATAATGAATCCACCCAACCCGCTCTATACTGGTATCATCTTTCACAAATCGAGTTCCTTACGATTTGTGCGTTGTGGAAGATTCTTATTACGGGCAACGAAACAACGACGACTGCGACGTAAAAGAACTCACAAATTTATTTACATATTTTGTTATAGGTCAATGATTTGAAAAATTCATTCCTAATTTTATTCAAATTTTTTTTCAGGTCAAATTTATCAAATCTATTGTCGAATCAGACGACCAAAGAGTGGCATATTTGGTCAGTATACACATTCCATCACCGGCGATAATTATTCAATTTCCATGTAAACAGAGAGGGACAAAATAGTAAATTTATAGGTGAATTCAATTATATGAGCGTGCTGATGGTCCTTCAATAATTGTATGTTTGTACTCATTTCCTAATAAATTAATAACGTGTAATAAATGAGAAAAAAAATTGATAATATTTTATAAGGTTTACGATATGATTTGTATTTTAATCTATTAAACTTAGTGTATTTATGTTAATTTTTATTAATATGTATTTTTAAAAGTTATTGACTTCAACAAAATTTAAAAACAAAAATTAAAAATGTATTGTACAAGATGTTTGTACAGGCGTAAAAAATGAATTGATATAAAAATTTAATTGACACAAAATAATTGACATAGATTTATTTTAAAATGGAAAAATAATTTGAAAAAAAAATTTATTCAACAAAAATTACTGAAAAAAATTAATTAAAAAAAAAAACAATTTTTAATTTCAGTATTTTAAATATAGTTTGGTTATTACTGTTGATAAAAAATACGGATATCGATATAAGAGTTGTGTACACTCAAAATAAATTATTGATTGAATTAAATTTTGAAAACTATTTTGAAAACACATTACCAAACAAATTTTCTTATTTCACATGTCACATCAAACTTTCAAAACATAATTCAAAATACATATTCAAAACACATTTCAACACTCTATTTAAAAACCATAACCAAACAAATTTTCTACACTCAAATCATAATTTCACAACACACAAACTCAAAATACAACTCATATTTTCAAATCACATTTACAAAACCCTACCAAACGCTACCAATATTTTTTATGACATGTTACACATGTACCTAGTGTTGACGTGCTTATTGACATGACATTTGCAAATATTATTTAAAAAATATATTGTTAATTTATTAGTATTTTTTTTTTAATTCGGGATTATCTAATTTACTGATTAGTTCAATTAATGAATCTTCTTCTTGTTGTGATTTATTAAGAACATTGACTTGCTTATAGCATGTATCATTACATCCTAATTCAACTAATCATTATCAGTATTATCACTAAGAGAATGGTAATTAGAAGTTGTTAGAACAATCTTCTGTGTAAATAAAATAAATTGAAATAATTCAAACAAAATAAAATAAAACTTGCAGAATTCATTTTGTTGAACCGAATCAATAATTAGAGACCAAGTCGAGTGTGTGACACTCTACCCTTATGACAGATTCGTCCCACTATGGTGCTTTTGGTTGAGTGGCGTCTATCTCCCAAGATACAATGATCTTAACCAATTTGTAGTAGCACTCCAAAACAAATTGTTCGACGAACCAAAACTTATGATCTAACTCTCTGAATATTTATTCTAAAACTATAATGAAGAAATAATGCAAAAGGCAAATCTGGACAGCAAGAGAAAAGATTTTCAGACTGATTTTTCAAATGTCTCTAAGTGATAGGCAACATAATCCCCGAACAGGTACAACAATTTGAATGAATAAATGCACTTTTGAAAGAGCAGGTGCAATAGTTGAATTCAAACAATTCTAACCGTTGTACATGAACATTACTATTCAAACATTTGAAAAGTGTCCGTTGATGGACAAACAAAGGAATTGTTAGGAACTTTATCATTAAATAACTATTTGAAATATATATATATATATTAAACTATTTGAATAGTTTAATAAATAAAGGAAGAGATACAAACTTTAGGAAACCACTTAGGAATCCAAATTTGAATTTAGAATTAAATTAAATTCCCACAATTACAAACTTTAGGAAACCACTCAAGAACCTAAAATTTGAATTTAGAATTTAAATTAAATTCCCACAATATTTTTTATTGAAAAAATTCAAATGAATTTTATTTAAAAAATTAATGTTAGACCCGAAAACAACGTCAACTTTCCATTCACTCATAAATGTTTTTGATGTTCCGTCTTCACCGTGTGACTTGCCACGCGACAAGGAACACTTCACCTCTTCAAACCCACCCCAAAAGACGTTTGGGTCCCACTCAAAATTGGGCTAAAAAATATGCCTATATTAAATCATTTTTCCAACAATCCCCCACATGAATGGAATTTGACGGAGAGAAAATGCAACAACATGATCTAATTACAGAGAGTACAAAAATAGGAAATATTCTGCAAATGATACGTAGCTTTTGGCTTTGAACCTTCCCTTGTGAGACACTATCGAATTTACTAGCTAACCAGTGAATATGATGTCTTAAACTGTTCAGCCATTTGTGTAAACCAAGACAATAGAACTCACACAGTATATTCTCAGACACAGTTTAGTTCTCACTATTGTGTTCATTTTGGCCCTAAACAACCTGGTCTTTCATGAGTGCTCTAGAGAATTGTAGCCCTTCACAAATCTCACAGAACCGGCCCAGTTCACACTCACATAGGTGATGCTTATGAAGAGTATCCTGCCATACTCCACTAGGTTTACCTAAATATAAGAATCATGAAAATTTTACTTAACGTTAAATGCTGTAGTCATCACTATTTCATCATAGAAATGGGTAGGAGTTTAACTCCCCAGTGATCCTTCTGAGTCATTCACAACTCAGTTGTCCCTTTGAACCTAGATCTTGGGATCTCCAGTCAACTAGGTTGGGTTGCCGTTGTGGTAACTCTTATGTAATAGGCTTAAGTCCCATTCTCCTCGATGAATTCTCAACTAACTCTCTTGCTAACCCTTTGGTTAGTGGATCCGCTATGTTGTCTTTAGACTTAACATATTCTATGGAAATAATTCCATTAGAGAGTAGTTGTCTTACGGTGTTATGTCGACGATGAATGTGTTGTGACTTACCATTATACATATGACTCTGTGCTCTACCTATAGTTGATTGGCTATCATAATGTATGCATATAGCAGGCACTGGTTTTGGCCATATTGGAATATCTTTAAGGAACCCTGCTTTGTCTAAAGCTATGAATTCTGATTCCATAGTAGACCTAGCAATGCAAGTC